CGCCCGGCCCCATTCATTTAGTTTTAATTCTACAAATGAGAGGCATTTGGGAATAATATTGGGCAAGTAGAAAAGAAAGAGAAACCATTGTTCTTCTGTAGGGGCTGTGTGCAGGCAGCTCAGATTACCAGCTGTCAGGACTTTGACTTCTGGGTTTCTTCCTAAGAATCACTCATTTTGGTGTCAGAGGCAGTTGCATGATGCATCATACCTTAAAATTTCCTGTGATCAGTCTTTCTCATCTTTGCTTCATTAGCCCTTTCAGTGGTTGTATGTCTAATTTCCTGTATTAAATCTTACTTTTTAAAAGTTTTAAAAATAACTTTTATTTTAAAAAGTTAATATGTACATTATAGAAAGCTGAAAAACACAAGAAGCAAAGAATAAAGTCATTCACAATTACAAGCTGCTTATAGTTTGATGTGTCCTTTTGGGTCCTGTGTTTGTATATAGATAACACCCAATTTTATGTGTGATTGAGATCATACAGTATGCATGATGCTTTTTCATACATCATGAATAATTACCAATTCAAAAATCCCAAAGAAAGACAAGATAGGCCAGGCACTTTAGAACATCAAGGAAGACAAGATAGACAGGGTGGCTCACAGCTGTAATCCAGCACTTTGGGAGGCCAAGGTGGGCAGATCACCTGTGATCAGGAGTTCGAGATCAGCCTGGCCAACATGGTGAAACCCTGTCTCTACTAAAAGTACAAAAAAATTAGCTGGGTGTGGTGGCAGGCGCCTGTAATCCCAGTTACTCAGGAGATTGCAGTAGGAGAATTGCTTGAACCTGGGAGGCAGAGGTTGCAGGGAGCTGAGATGGCACCATTGCACTTCAGCCTGGGCGACGAGAGCGAGACTCCATCTCAAAAAATAAATAAATAAATAAAATAAAAAGAAAGGCAAGATACTTCAAAAAAATTCTCAGCATTGTCAACAATATATATATAGTAGGGAAGAATAAAATGCACACATGAAACAGTGGTTATAATATGAAAATTTCTCCTAACGTAACGAGTCTTGAAGGGAACCTTCTCCTCATTCTCACTGCTTTCTGCTCCATGGCCTCTAACCCACTGAATGAACATGAAGGTGTGTTGTTCCTGGGGTCACTTCTAGAGCTGGTCTACAACTTTTGTTTCAAAGGGTCATTTTCAGAAGGTGTTTCTATGATTTTTTTTTAAACAACAAATGGACATTTATAAGATGTGTGATTTTCTAACTGTATTATACATCAGCAACCTCTTTAAATCTAGAAGGGCTAGGTGGAGCAAAATTTTCTTTTAAAAGGTTGAGGGAAAAGTCAAGAGTAGCTTTTTCATATTATTTACATGGGCCCTCTGTAAAGGTCGGTAAATCCTCCCACAGGGTGGTAGGGATTTCCAATCCACCAAATGTAGCATGCGATTTCTCTCTTTGGATATCAAAGTCGGTAGAACAAAGAGCAACCACCCAATGGCCTGCTAACCACTGCACCTGTCCTTGTAGGGGCTCTGCTCACCATTCAGGTCCGTTAAGGCCTTTTTCCATCATTTCTGGTGTTTTCGGGAGGCGGTAAGGTCTTGTCTAACTGGGACAAAGTGATCAGCCTGGGACCTGCATCTGTGCAACTCCATGGCATAATGAAGTTCCTGAGCTTGTTTCTCTAGACCCACCTTCCTGGGTTCACCAAACTACTGCAGCCCTCAGCGCCTTCTGGCAGCTGCCATTTTTCTCCCCCCTGCAACATCCATTTCCTCCCAAAGGCACAGTGTCTTCCGCAGCTCAGTGAGGGCTTTGCAGAAGTCAGCAGGATTTCTAGATATTCTAAAGTGCTTCATAGCCCAGTGAGGTCTGGGCTCAGAGAGGTTGCTCCCATCAGCTCACTGAGGTGGGGAGGGAAAGAGGTTCCCAAGGCCTCAGCTTACCTGTCCCGCAGTGCGCTGCTTCTCACCACGTTGCCTGCCTGAACTCTAAATGCCTTTCTACTGAAAATTTTTGGATTTGTTCTATGAGGAGAGTGAAGATTATCTGGTGGCCATCAAGCAGACCATCCAGAGGCAAAACTCCTTATCTGAGAAATTCAGAAGTAATTATTAATCAACATCCCTATTATCAAATGCAGGCATATGGTACCAGGCTTCTTTCACAAAAATGTATAAGTAACCAGAATTTCTATACATCTTTGGAATGCATGTATATTGAAACTTACTGTGCAGCCCTTGCTGACATCAAGGCACCAAAATGTCTGCAGATGTAACCATTTATCATGACCCTGGTGGCTAATATGGTCCAAATTACCCTTAAACTCCTGCTTTAAGGTTCATAAATGCCCCTAAGGAAAAATCCACCCTGGCTTGCTCAGTCCCCTCTTGCCAAAGCGCCCTGCTGCACTCCTCTGCAGCATTGTTTCTAATAAAACTTCCCTTTTCAAACCCATACTGTTATGGAGAAATTCTTCTTATTACTTTAAGCCAATCACTTCCTGTTGCTGTGGCTCTGACACCTTGCCCAGCATTTGTTTGCCAGACTGACTCTTGACTGACAACAGATCTGTATAAATTCAAGTACCTGAAGCAGAGCTTCTGAGGCTTTCAGTCAGACCATTCAAATAAATCTATTATTACTTGGGAATTAGCTTAAGCATTTTTTTTCGCTGATTACACAGTTCTACTGTATTTCACTCAAATCTGCTAAAGTTCCTCTATGACATTCATCTCCTTATGAAATCATGGTGAGATGGCTTGGGCCTGTGTCCCCACCCAAATCCCATGTTCAATTGTAATCCCCAGTATTGGAGGTGGGGCCTGGTAGGAGGTGGTTGGGCCACTGAGGTGGATCTTTCATGAATGGTTTGCGTCATTCTCTTGCTACTGTTCTTGAAATAGTGAGTTCTTTCGAGATCTGGTAGTTTAAAACTATGTGTCATTTTCCCGCCCTCTCTTTATTGCTCCTGTTCCCGCCGTGTAAGATGCCGTGCTTCAGCTTTGCCTTTCACGATGATTGGAAGCTTCCTGAGGCTCCCAGAAGCAGAAGTCTCTATGCTTCCTATACAGCCTGCAGCACAGTGAGCCAATTAAACCTCTTTTCTTTATAAATTACCCAGTTTCAGGTATCTCTTTATAGCAATGCAAGAATGAACTAATACACACGGTTCGGAAAATAGATTTCCTCAAAAGAATGGAGGGTTGTTACAATATGAAGGACAAGGCTTCCTTGGAAAAAGTGAAGAAAGTTAGGGACAGTGAAACTGCTCACTCCATATTTCTTCTTATACTTCAGGTAGAGTTGGTTAGATGAATGGGCCAAAAGAACCAGGAAAAGGAGAAAGACACAGCTTGATCCCAGAGATTTGACACAGGGTAAGAGGGAAAAGGAGGAGAGCCTTTGTATAGATCCAAATAACGTCCAGATCAGAATTTTCTTCCCAAGTTTAGAGTTTGTTAATATTTATACCTTGCTGCAGGATCATGTAGCTGGTGTCTCTGAACTCATGGAGAGTGAATGCTTCAGGGAGCACAATGGAAGGCTTCCACAGTCAAAGATAAATGTTAGTGGGGCTGACAGAAAAACAGTATCCTTCTCACCAAGTTTGCCCTGAGAACATCGAGGGATTTTTATTATAAGTTGAATCAACAAGAATAGTGAGAGTAAACAGCATTTGTTTTAGCGACTGTGACTGCAGTACTACCATAAAAGGAGAATCTGTGAGGACTGGAGGTTTTTCTCACGCGGATCCCAGAAGCGCCTCACCGATACCTTGTCTGTCTGCTTAGGTCAGTGTTCCCAAAGATTATTTTGTAAATTTGAATAACACCGGCTGCATCACAAACACCTGAGGAGATTTTTAACTTCCAGGACCTTGATTCTGCATATTTTGATTTCGTAAGTGGAGAGACCTCCAAATCCATATTTTTAAGATGATCACCAACTAACTCTTACTGCAGAGAAGTGACATTCTTGCTATGATTTTATACATCGGCAGACGTGTCTGTACCAATCCTAGAAGCTGAGATTGAGCTTATTCTCTGGTCTTTTGAGAAAAATTCAAACTATTTAAGTATCTTATCCTGTAGTAAAAATAACTATAGGTCAACAGTATTGGTGGATGAACTTATGTAGAGGGTATATAAGGAAGGCTAAATTTCCGTTAAAAGTTTAGCATCACAACATTTTGCCTGATGCACATAAGCCAGTCAAATTATCTGGGAATCATTTCTTCTCTTACGGGAAAAGAAAGTGATGCCAGATATAAGGATTCAACGACTTTAATTACTATATTTTTTCATTACTAAAAGTTATATATCTTTACTTTTTAATCAATATATATAATAAAATTTCCCTTTTTCTTCGAAAAGAATTTATTAATTGCATTTCTGTTATTGATGTCTTAAGTGTGAAGCAATATGATATTTCAAGTAGTAGCAATTCCTCAACCAAAGACCATTCATTTATTTATGCATTTGTGTGTTTAAGAGGTGTTTTCTAACCACCTGCTGAGTGTCTGATATTGTACTAGGTATGGGAATACAGCAGTGAAAAAAGCTTAAGTCTCTGCCATCTCAAATAATCTACTAATGATTAAACATGTGTTACTGACATTCCTTTAGTTTTATCCTAAAAACTTGCTTATATGATATTTTAGTGGCTCATGGGTTGGGCAAAGATAGATAAATAAGAAAAAGTAAAATGAATTATTCTCAGAAATGTCATGGCATGGAAAGAGCTTTCAAGTCAGACAGTGTGCTGTAAAAAAATAGGGTTATAAAAAAGACCACTATTCTTTAAATATACAAGGAACCATTAGACAGCTAATAGGTGTTTTAGAAAAAAAAAAAAGCCAGAAGTGAAAATACAGGATTGACTTTTGCGGGAACAGATCAACAGTCCTCTGAATTTAGTATCTTGCCCACAAGGGGGTGCATCTTCCTAACACATTGACATTTCCTGCTCACACTCATCCCTTCAGTGTGAGCTTAACCTTTCCTCACACTAAGAAGTCAACACCCAAGGACACCAGAGGGTCTAAAAATGAACTCTTCTCCAGGACCAGCGCTTGCACTGTTCTTAATGTTTGGTAAGTAAAATGGCACTGGCACTTACAACTTAGAATCTTTTGTTCCATTGTGTTGACTTAATCTTTAACCACAGTTTTCTCTGAGCGGTAGAGTTCAGATCACATTTAAGGTAACTTCGTATAACTTTTTTTTTTTTTTTTTTTTTTTTTCCCAGGGGGAATCAGTGGAGATTCAGTGGTCCAGACAGAAGGTGAAGTGCTCCTCTCTGAAGGGGATTCCCTGACTGTGAACTGCTCCTATGAATCCACAGGGTACCCTTCTCTTTTCTGGTATGTCCAATATCCTGGAAAAGGTCCAGAGCTCCTCCTGAAAGCCACGAAGGGCAATGACAAGGGAAGCAACAAAGATTTTGAAGCCATATACCGTACAGAAACCACCTCTTTCCACTTGGAGAAAGGCTCAGTTCGAGAATCAGACTCAGCTGTGTACTTCTGTGCTCTGAGTGACACAGTGACAGGGACTGCAGGGGGAGCTGAGCACAAACTCTAAGCAGCACAAGGGGCCTGGCTGCTGAGTGTCAGCTGCTGTGATCCACTCTGGTTAGGGACCAGGAACTACTCTACTGTTGCTGTTGTTCGTCACTCACCCCAGGCTCTCTGAGTGTGAAAGCCATCCAAATAAACTCTAAAATACGATAGAAGAACATGCCTTACACCAGATTCTTTAATAATAAGAGTGAAAACAGAATGTCACCATAGTTCCTCAACCTTGCTTGACATTTGTGATTTTAAAAGTATAAAACCTCGAGATAAATGAAATGGTCTAGCTGTTCATTCCTGTGTAAAATCTAGCCTCCTGGCCTTGTCTCAGGTCATCCAAGGAAATTGCATGTTTACAGACACAATTGTGACAGATGAGGTTGCAAATGCTTAATGTGAGCCAAGATCATGCCACTGCACTCCAGCTTGGGTGAGTATAATTGAGACTCCCTCTCAAAAAAAGAGAGTAAGACTCCCTCTCAAAAAAAAAAAAAAAAAAAAAAAAAGAAAAGAAAAGAAAAAAGGAATTATAATATGAAGAAGTCAAATTTTCCTTATTTGCAGATGACATGATTTTATATTTGGGAAATCCTAAAGACTCCCCCCAAAAAAACCTTAGGACTTTAACTTCAGTAAAGTTGGAGGATACAAAATCAACATACAGAAACCAGTAACATTTCCATATGTCAACAATAAACAATCTGAAAAAGAAATAAAAAAGTAATTCCATTTATAATAGCCATAAATAAAATTAAATGCCTAGGGGTTAGTTTAACCAAAGAAGTGGAAGATCTCTATAATGAAAAGTATAAAATGCTGATGAAAGAAACTGAAGAGAACACACACACACACACACACACACAAAAGAAAAGAAAAACAACTCCATGTTCATGGATTGTAAGAAACAATGTTGATAAAATATCCAATCTACAGATTCAGTATAATCTCTATCAAAATACCAATGACATTCTTCACAGGAATAGAAAAAAATTCCTAAAATATATATATGGAACCACAAAAGACCCAGAATAGCCAAAGCTATTCTAAACAAAAAAAGTGAAAAGACAGTGCACAGAGTGGTGAAACGTATTTACAAACTACTCATTTGACAAGGGATTAATAACCAGAGTATATGAGGAGCTCAAACAACACTATAGAAAGAAATGGAATAATCTGATTAAAAAATAGGCAAAAGATTTGCATAGATGTTTCTCAAAAGAAGATGTACAAATGGTAAACAGGCATATGAAAAGGTTCAACACTTACCAATCACTTGCATCTATGCTCAAATACTCTGTCTTTCCTCTCATTAGAGTGAAATCTCATGAGTGTAGGTACTTTACTTATTCTCAGCACTTACCATCATACTTGAAAAGTCAGGCATTTAAAAAATAATTGTTGAATTAAAATGAATAATAAAAATACCTCTGTCATTACCAGAACAAAACTACCATTTATTCATTTGCTCAATAAAAATTCATTGTATGCCTATTTATCGACAGGCCATATTCTAGAAACTGACAATATAGCGGAGAATAGAACAGATAAAAATCCCTTATATTTTAGTTGAAGGTTAAGTTCCTGTTAGCCATTACAACAAGCCTTTACACGAATCATCTCTTTTCAATCTTTCAAAAATTGTTAGGTGTTACCATACTTAGTTTCAGATGAGAAAGCTAAGGCTTAACTCTCCCATGTAATATCACATAGAGCCAGAATGCAGTTTCAAACATATGTCCTAATTACTAATTTATTGAGCTGACATAGACATGAAGGGGCTTATCATCTATATCATGTTGCAAATGGTGAGGAGGAAAAAAGCTGAATCAAAGGTTCTGAGCAATTGTAGCTCTGACCCCGAGATGGCAGTATTTGCATTCGCCCCGCCTGTAGTTCTGAATGTGTGGTATGTGTAAGATAGCGAAGCCTGGTCTCTAATTGGCTAGGCGTACTCGCTGAGGAACCCTTTGTTTAGTGTTAAAAAAAAAGAGGAGATTTTGAATACACAAATCAACTTCTGGGAGCAGATCTCTGCAGAATAAAAATGAAGTATCCGAGGACCTGCTTGGTGATTTTGTGGCTTTATTTTTATAGTAAGTTGGTGGACAGTTTTACCAAGGTTAACATAGTAAGTCAAGGGAATATTTTCTTAGGATTTGGGTAAAGGTATAGTCCATTGGGATAGGAGGAAGGGAGAAAACAGGATCATTTTCGATTTCACTTGGGATTCACCGTGGGGAGTAAGGAAGGGATGCAAATTGGACAGTATTAATACCGAATGATGGATATCTCGAATCTCACTTTGCTTTCTGAATAGGAGGGAGTGGCAAAAACCAAGTGGAGCAGAGTCCTCAGTCCCTGGTCATCCTGGAGGGAAAGAACTGCACTCTTCAATGCAATTATACAGTGACCCCCTTCAACAACTTAAGGTGGTATAAGCAAAATGCTGGGAAAGGTCCTATTACCCTGATGTTCATGACTTTCAGTGAGAACACAAAGTCAAATGGAAGGTACACAGCAACTCTGGATGCAAACACCAAGCAAAGCTCTCTGTACATCACAGCCTCCCAGCTCAGCGATTCAGCCTCCTTCATCTGTGTGGTGAGCGCACTGTGCTCCCCAGGCACTTGAAGCCAGTACCCAAACCTGCACCTGGAGGTTATAGGAGTTGGAGTAGAACATTATTTTTGATGCAGAATATAATTTCACAAGCGAGCGAACAGTTATCTCTCAGACATGATTTGAGTTGAGCTTGAGCCTAGAGTTCTGCATAGGCTCAAGTAGGATATATATCCTCAAGTGAGGATAAAGACATTCTCACTCAACACACAAAGCTAAAGGCTACATCTGGCTGTTCTCATGGGCAAAACAGTCAGTCATGCTGTGTTACTCCTGCTGTGTTACTGTTACTGACAGTGTTGGTTTGAAGGGAGAGACTAGCTTGGTTTGTGGTCTGCAGACCTACCAGCAGAATGTTGACTAAATGAAAGAGCAAGTTGATGTGGCTGATGGCAGTATCTTGAGAAGTTTCCTTCTCCTGAAAGACATTTAGTTGTCATTTCATGGCTATTCAGGTTCTCAGAAAGCATCTTGTGAGAAGAAATCTGCTCTGCCACTTAGCCATGCTCCAGATCAAGGCATCTGTTCAGGTGCTGCACCAACTCTTTATCACCCTCCACCACTGCTCCTTTAGAGGACACTGGCAGGCTAGGGGACCCTGGCAGGCACAGTCGCTCTCAGGCAGCAGAACGACTGTGCCAGGATTTTCAACTATCAGTGTTCCAGAAAAGAGATTTAGGGACAGAATGTCTACCTCCCATTGTGAATTCCTGTTTGTGCAACTTAGCTGTGAAGTTCTTTTTGGGACATTTAGAGAAATGTATATATAATTTGAGAATTACATTAGAAAAGTATTTATTTAAAAGGTAGATATCAACTGTAAAAAAGGGAAGGATATATACTAAGATATTAAAAATGATAATCCCTTGGTGGTGGGAATATAACGTTTTTATTTTTTAATCTTTCCTGTCCTCTGTACTTTTAATTTTCTGCAGTTCTTGGATTTTTCTTCTATCAAAATAAAGGTTATTAAAAATAACAAATGTCTTAAAATTTAAAGGAATGCATCTGATCTATCATTATCAACTCACAGGAATTGATATTTAGAGATGATCACACATTCCAGAATATTGTTGGATAAGATTAATTTGATATCTTTTTAAGCCCTACAAGTAAGTTCACTTCCAAGCTTAGTGAATTGATAATTTGTGAATAAATGAAGCCAGGACCTGGACTGTTCTTTGTAACTAGTCTGGAGATTGCTCAGGTGTCAAGACTTCAAAATACCTTGAATTCTAGAGCAAAAAGTAAACCTAGATATATTCAGTAATCAGATATTTTTTCCCTGTCCTTTACCTCTTTTAAGTCTTTAGAGTGAAGAAATTAAAGTTCAGATTGCTACTACAGCAGACTGGTGTAAGTAATTATAAATTAATTAAAGAAAAAGACCAAATGCATGAAAATGGAATCAACAGGTAAAATTCCAAGTATGTGGAAAAATAAGTTTTAAAGGTATTCTCAGGAGGAGATCACTTTGGCACAGAAAAGATAAGAGAAATTATCATGGGGAGTAGCAAATTTAGTTAGGTCTTGAAGGACAGACACACATTGAATTTGTTCATTAAACGAATAATAGGGCCAGATGTGGTGGCTCACACTTGTAATCCCAGTACTTTAGGAGGCCAAAGTGGGTAAATCACTTGAGGTCAGGCATTCGAGACCAGCCTGGCCAATATGAGGATACCCTGTCTCTACTAAAAATACAAAAATTAGCCAGGCATGGTAGCGTGTGCCTAAAATCCCAGCTACTAGGGAGGCTGAGGCAGGAGAATAGCTTGAAACCGGGAGGTGGAGGTTGCAGTGAGCCGAGATTGCACAGTTGCATTCTTGCCTGGGTGACAGAATGAGAGTCCATTTCAGACAAAACAAAACAAAAATAACAAGTGACAGGTGTTTTCGTGGGTAGAAGGAGTAGGTAGGTAGACACAAAAAACCTTCCCTCACCAGGCTTGAGTCTGTATTTGTGTGTAATGTTCACTTTCTTTTACAGGAATATCTTGGGAAGTTTGTATTCCAATAAAGGCTTTTTCATTTCTTGCTTTAGTTTAGTTTGCAAAGGTTTCATATGGTGATTAAAAGGCATAGGTATCGAAATGCTGTGTCTATCATTTACTAAATTACATTACCCTGGGCAAAATTACATAACCTCAGGGCACCTACATATCATCAATGATAATTATGCATACATCGCATGGTCATAAGAATTGAATTAAGTTAAATGAATTTAATTCAATGATTGAATTGCATTGGTAGAAAATAATTTTTCAGCTGATGGTAGTTATTCTTGGGTATAAATGATACAACAAAGGTAATTTAAAATAAGACAGTAAGAAAATTTAAGTAT